ATAATATCGCATATAGTATAATAGCGCAATAAAATAGGAAATTTATTATATTATTGCAATTTTTAAATCAGCACAGAAGTAGCGATTGGAAACCACGTTTAATATTAGTTAGTATTAATCATATAGTATTAAAATTAATACATGACTTCTCCAAGTGATAAAATTTTATTGGTAATTAAAAATTATACCTTGTTATTCGAAGAGATATAATGTGAAATTTTGAAAGTTCGTTTTATCATTATTATGACATCATTATTATGATTTCAACTGAATATAATAGTAAAGAAAACATTACGTTTAAACTTACTCCGAAGTACTTTTCGCTCGTATTTGATATTTCTGCTGTTAACCAGCTGTGTAAAATTGATTATTGCTTCTGGAAAGTTTTGTTCCCTATAATTCATTTTGTGTCTTCATTCAATGCGACGTTCAGAGTGACATTCTCGCATGAATATTATCTAACGGTGGGCTGATTGCGCGGAGAAGCGCAAAGGGATTGGAAACTGGAGGAGAACGGATTAACGTTGAGTAACGCCGTGGAGAATTCGCGATACGAAAGTCGCGGATAAAGTTCTCCAGCCACTTGAGAGGATAACTGGCGACGTTTGGAAGCGCCTAAAGTGTCGCTGGTAAGAGAAAATGGGACGGATTATGCGAGTCGGCTGCCGCGCCGAGATTCAATATTTGCCGCATCAGTCGCGAGCGCGTCTCCTCGTGTAATCACGGCCTAATCAAGAGCGACGAAATTCAATTATATACTCACCGAGTTTCTGGCAATAGAGCGTAACTAGCGTATGATAGCGAGGCGAGGCCCGGCGCCGGCGGAAACGAGCTGAGCCGCGCGGTCGACGCGACTGCAGCAGTTGGCCTTTCGAGATCGTAACAGCGACAGCCAATTATATCCGTGCTCTCGATCACCTCGCTGAGATGAATAAACTGCGCCCGCACAAAAGCGTGATAATTCGTAGCGCTAGTTACTTTTCGAACGCTTCGGTTCGTTTAAAACCCGTTTGAACGAGTTTGACAAATTTGGGATGGCGCGGGCGCGGCGATGGGAAACGACCGGGTTCATCCTGCGTACGCATGGCTGAGCAAGGTAATTGCAAATTACGTTTTTAATTCCGACAAATTCTACCTTGTCTATCTCGTGCATAGGATATTCACGTTGCGCAAATTATCGTGATTAATTTGTTTCTATATGGACATTCGTGAACGTGATGTGGTTGAAATAAGCAAGTTCTTAAACTTGCGAAAATTAGATGATATCGCCTTGAGAAAATTATTTCCTTGTCGTCGATTCAACGCAAAAGTTGTTGAACCGATAAACAATTCTCGTAACTCTCCGGGGTGTCCGCGACGATGATACTTTGCTTCAAGAAGTTTATTGCCAGCTTACTCACAGTTCAAAACACTTAACTCAGTTTATCCAAGATAAGTATAAATATTTACGCATTAATCGATCGATTTTCTCTCTCTGCACTCTCTTTATCTTTATTTATTTTTCGAATTAATATATTTGATAGCACTCGGTTAATGAGTAATACAATAGAATATCAAAGATAAAAGCTTAATATAAACTTTCTAACTGTTGAACTATTTTACATACATAGCGTAAAATTTTACACATTTTTTTTTTATTAGTTAAACTGTAATAAAATATTCGTATTTTTTCTAAACTTTATTAATATTTTCCAAAATGAAAAAAATTACTTGTATTGCCGTTCTACTCAACAACTCATTTATTGTCTCAGTATTGCGATGCATTCAGTTAATCGAATAAAACGAACCAGCCTTTTGGCAAAAGAATTGCATTACGCGATGCATGTACCATTTTCCTTTGTTCATTGCGTGCTATTATCGCGACGTTACAATGAAAAGTTCTTTGCAGTACAAATGATGAAGAGATTTTCTTATTTTCTTAGAGAGAGAGAGAGAGAGAGAGAGAGAGAGAGAGAGAGAGAGAGAGAGAGAGAGAGAGAGAGAGGGGCGCACAGAAATTATTGATGTGAGAATAGGTTATTTCTGCGATAATAAATGTCAAATAGTAAGAAGTAATGACATAACATTTCGTTAATTTCACAACTTTCTTTCCGCAATTTGTTATGTAATTTGCACATCTGAGACTATAAATAATTCTTTTTATATCAGTCAAATTTTATGTATCATACAATAGCTGTGCTCATTTAATTAAAATCTCCCGGCTTTTTTCATTAACTATACTTGCGTATTTGCGCATTCTCGCACTCTTGCTCTTTAATGAGAAACCATTACGCATTGCAAGCCGCTTTCTAACGAGCATAATTAATAGTTTAGCATAATATGGTAACTACTCATGCAAGCAATGATAATATTATTATTATTATCATTATTATTATTATTAATATCATAATTACTTCTATGATGTATACAAAATGTTTTTTGTTACAAACATACAAACGAACGTTGTACTTACATATTCATTTCCATTAATGTTCGCTATTATTTTATTTTAATTATTTTCTTCTCCAATTATAATTTTTTCACAAAGAATTTGCTTTAAATTTGTTAAGAAAAATTACATTAACAACAATTTCACTTCATACAATAAAATACATAACATAAAATCTAATATGCTGTAACAAAAAAATCGACTGTATATATCGATTTTTATTCATCACGAAGGTAATTTTTTTAAATTTCAACTTCCTCTTTGTTTTTTCTGTCGTAGAACATGGCAACATTGTTTCTTGAATGATAATGCGCGACAAGTCGGTTTTGTCAAGGAGATTCGTTTTTTCGTTCTCTTCTCGATTTTCAGCATGCAAGAACAATCGACACATTGGAAACAAAGAATACGTATAGTGCTTTAAGATACGTCGCCGCGAACGAATGTCTTCTCTCCTTCAGCATCGAAATTGCCACATTTACACAGTTTCTTTCGATTTCTCGTGTTTCAGAAGTACACTGCCACAACATGCCATACGGCGGCAGCGGCAAGAACAGTGACACATACAACCAGAACGCTCTGGAGGAGGCCACACGATCGGGACCGTATTTCGACAAATCAGCCTCAAAGAACGTGACCGCTCTGCTGGGAAAGACTACATACCTCAACTGCCGTGTCAAAAATTTGGGGAACAAAACGGTGAGTGAGATAAACATATATTCTCAAAGAAAAGAATCCATATTATTCACTAGTATCTTTTTTACTTATTTATATCCAAAAATAATTATATTACAATTTCCTTAGATTGTTTATAAATTAATGATAATGATAATAATGTCGTATTATAATAGCATGATATTTATAAATATATTTATAAAATAACTCGTTGAGAGAAAAGTGTTGGGGAACGTTATGAAATTGCAAAAAAGCAATCTTATTATGTAAAACTTTTTAATAATTTTATAATTTTAAAATCGCAACGTCATTGCGCTCTAACTATCTTCTTTTCCAAGAAAAAAAAAGTTGAAATTTTTTTACTGGAAAAAAAGTATTGGGAAATCTGAAAGGATAACAAAAATACTAATATTAAAACTAATATTAAATAGTTACGGAGACGAATCCAACTCGTTTATGTCACTTAAGTCAAAAGTGAATGATGAAGTGAATGAAATGAATCCAGTCAATTCGAATAAAGTCTCGGGATAAAGTCTCATTAATGGCAAGATACTAAAAAAAATAGTACGTTCGTGAGAGTAGATTAGAGACGATGGAAAAAAAAGTGGACGACACCTATGTAAACACCGATTTTAACGTTTCTCTAGCCTAGTCTGTGAGTGAATAAGGCGAAATATTGAGTGTCAATATTTTATCGACACAATGGAGCGTCACCTGTCCCGGGCAAACTGCGGGGGTTACCGGAAGTGCACTCATGCACCAGCGCGACACCATGGTCTCTCGACAATACCATTGAACGAAGTATGCAGGTGCTTTTGGTGTGTGTGTGTGTGTGTGTGTGTGTGTGTAATGTTTGGCCGTGGCAGCTGTGCAATTAGGGCAGCTAACGGAGCTTTGCGCAAGGCAAATAAAATTATAGAATGTGGCATTATGAGTGGCGTCGATAAAATTTGGATTGATCTCGCGTCTCAGCCAGCTTTTTCCACGAGCGAGCAGAAATTCGTAAAAGCAAAATCACGTAATGCTCGTGTACTCAAAAATTAATGGAGTGAATCTCGTTTGTTTTATTATGTCATTGCGTTTCAATCACGTTTTCGTATTGTAGAACTTTCCCTTTAAACACATTCGTCATGAGGTATAGTCTCGTTAAGCACTAATGGAAGGTATTTTGTGCCATTCGGTATATGCATTAAGCGGACGTCACATATACGTGTTGGGGACGGTATGATGGCAGATGAATTCATCGCTAAGGATTAGATATAACTCAGGGATAAGCGAGGGAAAGATTGGTCTGGCCATAACTCACGTAGTCATCTCTTTTTGCTCGTGCCTCATGGGAGAGATTAGATCTGGGATTATATATATATTCATGGTTTCCTACCGATTTATAGTTACCGGAGACATGAAAGTGCGGTGTTAACGTTGTTGACTCGTATAATTTGCTCGCACGAACATATGTCAATTCGTTATTTTATCAAATCCAAATATTAAAGATTAATAATCCATATTTCTTTAGATTTTTTTGGAGTAAAATCTTATTCTAAAGAAAAATTGAACTAGTCTTGAAAAAGAATAGCTCAATTTTCAATCTTTAAGAGTGAGACTTTACTCTAGAGATTCACTCTAAAAGTTTTATAGATTAATGTATTAGATCACTTTTTATAATCTGTCTAAGATTTAAAAAAGTTACATTTAATTTCTACAACGTAGATATTAGAATGTATTAATGAGTTAGAAACAAAATCTACTTTTATTCTATAAAGATTGAAAGTACACCAATAGAAATTATTTAATAGACTTTTGATTTAAGTTTAAAAATAATTAATCTTTAAGATCCATTAACTAATTTGTGGGATGTTGCAAACGTTCAATCGCATTTTCTGTATTTTATAAAAAACGAAAGAAACGCTTAAGAAATGTTGGGACATAATACTTTGTAACAATTGAATTGGTAATGCACATCAGTTTATACAGCGATGCAGCTGCTTAGGCAGCAAGAAAGGGAGAAAACGTACTCGGTATCAGAATCGACCGACTTTCGAATGCGACGTCCAGATTTATCGTTCTTGTGTGAAACCGAAGATCATACAGCGCCTGAGCTAGATTTATTGGATGAAGTGTACGTCCGTCTCAACGAAGGAGAGGAAAGCCGAGGTGCGGGGTTCTGATACGGACGTGTTCTACGGCCCGTGCTTTACTTAATCTATGAATTGCCAAGTACCGCAGAGTTCGACGTTCAAAAAGAGGCGCTGATTCATTCATATGTATGCCGCGTAACCCAGTTCGAAATCAATTCTGCTCGAGAGGTGTGCGGCGTTTGCATCGAAACTTGAACGCGGCTGGCACTAGATATCGGCTGGCACTCGCGAGTGCGTTGACTATTTCTCATGAACACGTTCTCTCGCGAAAGCTCTCCAAAAAAATATTTCAAAAAGCATCTAGTATTGACGTTATTAATCTGAAGATCTGAAAATGTACAAACAGCTTACAACAGCCTTCTTTCTCACAATGTATGTACTTTGAACTAAATTTTTTTCTTTCAGTTAAATTTTAGATTAACTTTTTTAGGTTACATTTTAGATAAAGTTTTTATCTAAGTGATATCTAAGTGAATCGTTTTTCTTTCATTTCTATTTCACACTCATTATTGCGAAATCACATGTGTGCCGCATACTTGTTCTCAGAAAATTTCATTTCTATGCTAAGCTTATTTCTACATCGGCAATATCGATATTATTCATACTTATTTTACCGATTAATTTAATACAGTATGAGAGTTGTGGATATTTGATTTCTAAATCGTGTTTACTATCATCGTTCGTTGAAGCTATCATTAATTTGACCTGATGATACATTGGAAATCTGGAGTCAAATCAAAACTACGTAGGAAGCTATACTTGCTAGAGCTGAATTACATTAAATGCTTAAATGTTTATTGGAAAAAATCACACTCGCAAGTAAATAAACGAGTAAATCTTCTTATTCATTCGTCTTTGAAATTAAAATAAATAACTCGTTTTATTATCGAGAAAAACATACTTTGGAGAAGCTTAACATGATCCGTGCATAAAAATGGGAAAAAGACAAAGAGAAAAGATGGATTTTCCGTAATAGGTTTTTACAGCACTCCTTGGAAGCGGGAAGAACAAATGCCTGAAGAGAATTTCTTTCCGTCATTGCAATGAACATCGATTAGGGCGATGGATTCGATATAGATGGGACGATTATCGTTGTGTCCACCGATTGACTTACATTAATTCACGATCAAAGCCTTCAACGAGCTGAAGCAAAGTGCTTTCGGTCGGAGACTTTTTTAAAACTCTAAGAAACCAGTGCAGGACATTGTTATGCAAAAAGATGAAATCCTTTGTAAACGAAAGCTCATAATGAGCGAATAAAAGACGACGCAAGCCGAGGCTGCCTATCGAGATTTCATTGATTACGATACGCCACGCGCTCATGAGACAAGGATTCTTGTTTGATGACCGTTATCGTCCTGGAAACGCAACTTGACTCTTCGCGCTCCAATTACTGTCGAGAGCCAGGCTTGCTAGTTGACCCCTTTCGCTTATCGTGCATATCGACGAGAATACGGATATCTCTTTTTAATTGCTGATGTAATAACATCCAGTGAATCCCATTAAATGCTTTTAAGGAAATGACTCTGTCATTAATATAATAAAGGCATTCATCAATCAATCACTTTATTATATTACACGATTCTATATTCTTCTGTAAGTATTCTTCATCCTTCCATTTCTTTTCAAAAATTATTTTTTCAAAATATACATCTTAAATGTGTCTTACAGTATTTTTTATATTTTAAATCAAATTTAATAATTTGCATTAAATTTATTACAGTTTTTTAAGATTAAAATTTGGGGGGATTAATGCGTTTCAGATGGATTGCGTTGAAAGTCCGACAATAACAGCGCGCAATCATATTTCTAAAATAAATTCATTTCAATTAGAATACATACGTATTAGTTTCAACATTTAACTTTGACCATCAAGTGGCACTTCTCGTATTTAGATGACGTACTCGTATAAAACGATCTTAATTCCAATCTCTATTATTGTTTAATAATTTGCCAGATTAAATGTCAGATTTTTTTTATCAATCATTCATTATCCTTTTCGTATATGTTCTATATTGTGGCCAATTTTGATGCATTACACCGATCTTTGTCATTGTATGTGTACACGATCAACCCACCAATTTCATCAACTTGCTCAACTCGCAATAGCTTCAACATTCTCAGGCAGTGCACGCAAGCTCGCTATCAACGTGATACGAAAGACGAATACACGTGCGAATGTTCGAATGAAACGATAACGAAAAAGAGAGCTTCGGTTCTATTGCGTTTCTAACATCTTTGACTGTTGCGAAGGACGACGCCGGTCATCCGCAACGAACAATCGGCCTCGTTCCTTTTCCGTGAACGTACATCGATTGCAAGGAGTGCCCTCAAGCTAAAAAGACGCGTCCCTCGACAATAGTTTTCTATCGACCTTATAATCTTTGCAATCGCAAAGAGTCTCCGTACCATATCGATTTCGAGCTTATCAATTGGTGGGCTGATCAACCGAGCATTTTGCCACGTTATTGATTTATTATTTCAAAATATGTAACATTATATGTCATAATTATATAAGATAATTATTTAAATATATATTAACTTTTATAGTCCGTATGTTTTTAATTTTAAAGGCTTTAAATTTAAACGCGCTTTAATCTAGTTAGTTCGGAAAGGACTGATGTTAATAATTCCACACTTTATTTCGGCGTCGATTTCTCGATGTGATAATTAATCAGTATTAGCCGAGGAATTGAGGAAGAGGCCACGTGCGTTATAGTGTTTTATGCGTCTGCCAACGCTAGGAAAACCACGTGTAAATCACAATTTCGAGTTACCGCACTATAAATACCTCAGTAAATCAAACCTGTCCGCATAACAAAGTTAAATATGATTTATCGCGACTTTGAAATTGCACCGAGCCTTATTTAAATTATCGCTATTTCG